TGTTGGCCTTTATAAATTAATGTGTCCATCTTTTATTTGAACTTTACTTTGTTACCATATATGTGGCCCAAAAGAATTAGTACTATAGTTGCAATTTTTATTTTTTTTTTAATATTCAAAATGAATATAGAACATGTCCGAGACACGTGCAAGTACCCAAAGTGAGAGGGGTGCACGGAGGACATGGACAAATGCAGAGGAAAATCAACTTATTGTAGCACTTAAGGATTTATGTGTGAATGGGTGGAAGTGTCAGAACGGCACTTTTAGGCCAGGATATCTCCAACAACTAGAGAATAGTTTGAAAGCAGCAATTCCAGGGTGTGAGTTGCGTGCATCTCCTCATATTGAATCTAAGTTGAAGAAGTGGAAGAAAAATTATAACTCACTCTTCACAATGATGGCTACTTTGGGGTTTGGATTCAATAGTACAGAGAATAGGATCTTGGTGGATGGTGACGATATATGGCAAGATTATTTGAAGGTACAGTGTAGACGTATATACAATACACTCGTTTTTCTAGTTATGGAACACATATTGTATTTGTCTTTAACTTTGATTACATACGTTTATTTTTGTAGAAGGATAGAAATGCGAAGGGCATGTGCGAGAAGGCATGGCCTTATTTCAATGATTGGGGGATCATCTTCGGGAAGGATCAGGCTACAGGTGAATTTGCAGTGGATTTGGAAGAGATAGTAGGAGATGTTGAGGTTGAGGCCTCAATGCGTGAGGCAGATAACATGGCTGGGGAAGAACAGAGAGGTCGTGACATACCTGTTTCACATAGTGCAACACCTGTTTGTGACCAAACGATAGCTAATGAGCCCAGTGTTGGAACACCATCCAATAGTAAGAAGAGGAAAGGGAAAGTGAGTGGTAATGCTTCTGAATCAATAGAAAAGAGTTTAGGCGACATATCACGGGTGTTTGGTGAATATGTAAATGAGAGTCGTAAGCAGTTGGATTTGATAGCACACCGAGTTGGCTATATGCATGATGTTGCTGATGCTCGTAGGAAAGTAAATGCCGAGCTTGAGAAGATAAATGGAATTTCCATGGGTGATCGTCATGCTGCACTAAAAGTGATATGTTCGGACCCCGTAAATGTGGACATCTTCTTCAGCTTACTTGATTATGAGCGACCGGCATGGGTTGGTGGTTTATTGTGGAACACAACCCAACATTGATCATTACCAATGTTGGGTTGTTGGTCATTTTGAACATTGGGTATTATTATAAATGTTTTTGTTATGTAAATATAAGCACTTGTATGTACGTCGTACCTACATATGGACTAAGTACATGTAATGTGCTGCAATGAAGGCATATCATGTTTTGCAGCAAGTCCCCAAATTATTGGGTGAACATACTATTTTGTATATGATGTGACAATACTTGTATTCAGAACCTTGGAATGGGTAATTTTTATGTACTGTCAAACAGATGTACTGTTGATTTGAAGGTATTATCTCATGCACCATATGCATTACTGCTTTTGGGCAATTTATATACATGGTATTTTTTTTAGTACCGGTTAAAAGTAGGATTAACAGACATGATATTTTTTGTGCAATTAGATATGAATAAGAAACAACGTTGGTATGTTGTATTTGTTGGAAGACAGGTTGGCATATATCAGTCTTGGGTTGAGTGTCATGCACAAGTGAATAAGTACGTAGGAGCACTGTGCAAATCGTATGATTCGTACAATGACGCAGTAACTGCTTTTGGCATGTACAATGCGAGGGATGTAGGAGAACCAGTACGTGATGTACCTACTGAGATCGAGGTCCATGCAGTTGCAGATTTGGAAGACCGTCATGAAGATGAGCTTATTGACAATATTGAACAACCAGTTGTTGCAATTGGACAAAGCGGATACTCGCGTGATATGTGTTGGTGCATCATAACTGTGGTAATGTTCATCTTGGGCATATTACTCACCCATATTGTGTACTCGGTTATGGGTAGAGTTGGTTGACTTAATGTTATTACATTACTGACTGTCGTATAATGATGAAGACTGAAGACATTTCACCATTGGTTCAAAGTAACCAAGGATTTGTTGTGATACAAATGTGATGTGCTACCTCTGTATACTTCTAATGTAACTTCAATATGATAATATTTTCCATTTTACATATTATTGACTGTTGTTTGATTGATACTAACGTCAAATTTGATACAAAATACTAATATTCCATGAAATTCTTAAATGAAACTCATTTTGTACTAATGAATGATTGTTATTATTGTAGTATGTAATGAAGATACCAAACATAACTGAGGATGAAACTGATGTATTGATTGACACACTGATTGATTACAAAAATAGAGGGAAGCTCCCGACTTTTGGAAAGTATAATACAAAAATGGTTGACGGTATGTTGGCCGTCTTGAAACGCAGAATGTCAAAGTTCAGTTTGTCGTTTACTGAGCTTATTAGGATTATATTCTATTGGGAGTGATAATACCTTACAATTTCTAAGATGGTTGACTCTGGGTTGTTTGAATGGGACCCTTTAGCCAAATGTGTGGTACACAACCCAGACACAATTGGTGCAAATAAGTTCTTGGAAGTAAGTGATTTTACATTTTAACATATTTTGTACGTAAATTTTTTTTAGCATTCTAGCATGTTAGTTATACATTAAAGTAATCATTTTCTTAAAATTTACACTTGTAGGACGATGATTTCGCTGGACAATATTGCCTTGACCTGTGCCCAAATTTCCAATATTTTGGTGTTATTTTCAAACGAGATGACGCTTCATCAAGCAATCATCAATTGGATAGTGTTGGTTCATCACCGTCAGTGAATTCTCCAAGGCACGTCGATGTTATAGTCATCGATGATTGAATGCATAGACGATCGTTATGGGCATGTTTCCCATTTAAAATATTTATATGTATGTACTGATGTGTGTATAATATTTTGTTACATGCCATAAGCCATTTTGGTAATTACTATGTACAACTTGTGGTAGTGTATGATATACGAGCGTCTGTGGGGATATGTCTTCACCAAACAATTTAAGACAATGTTGCCTTTATTTTGTACGGATAGGTAAATACAGTTAGTAATATGGACGAATACTGTCCTAAATATAAACCCTCATGTCTTAAATATTTGTAATGTTTTGGTTTAAGGACAATGGTTTGTTGGATGACTCTTTTTACTATGATTATTTTGGAAGGGATGACCCTGAATTCACATGGGAAGTGGTTAACCCCCTCAAATGGGAGAAGACCCTTTTTTTAAGTTTATGTTGTTCAAATGTTACAGGTGATTTTGTAATGTGCTTGTTCTTTGCTATTGCTCTTTTGCCCATGAATCCACTCGGAGTTTGCTTGTCAATGTGTTATTGTATTTTTGTATTTTTTTTATTTTTGTGCATGTCATGGTCATACAGGATATGTGGAGATTGGGAGATATATGGAGAGTCTTGTGACAGTTGATGAAAACATTTAAAAAAAAAATTTCTGCCACTTGGTAGACTAAAAAAAGTACTCAATTTTTTATGAGCACTTGATCACACTACTTGACTGTATGCGAATGTTGTATATAATTTTTCTTAGTAACACATGTTTTGTTCTTTTTTACATGTTTTGAATGAGGTTTGTATATAGTTTTTTCCATCATGGCTTCTTGTATTTTTCCTTGTGCTTGGAATTAATTTTATCGTATTTTAATATTTACAAAAAAAAAATGAAAAAAACAGTTAATTTCTTCTATATTTCATGTTAATTTGTGTTGTGCCATAGTTTTTTGTATATTCTTGCATTATTTGTCCTAAATTTTTTAAATTTTTTGACGGATGAAATAAATTTGTGAGCGACTTATAAAATTGTATTATAAAATTAATGTGTAAAAACATGTATTTGGTGAATATATAAACATTCTTATATTTTTCACATTATTAAATTGGTAATCAACAATGAACAAAAATTAAAAAAATAATTATTTCAAAAGTGGTAACCAACAATTGTCAAGCCAAAAATGAGATAGGCTTAGATAGGATTCAAGGGTAAAATGGTCAATGACTGTCAAATGTATTAGATATTTAATAAAAAATTATAGTTTGTCCATATCTCAACCCCTTTATAATGCACTATCCAAAGCAGGGATTTGATAACACAATTTCCTTTTATCCCTCCATATATCCGGCCTATTGGAATTTCACTGGATTGGTTTAGAATTTATATCAAAGACAGTTCAATCCGCCCATGATTTGCCAACACACACCCCTAAAGGTGAAAATAAATTGGCTAGGGACACTTTTGGGTCTACCTAAAATCAATTGGATTTGGACCCTAGCAGAGAGAAATTCAATAGTTCTAGAACCAAATCACCAAAAGTTTCATGCCTATCCATACATTATATTCACTGCCCTGTCATTCACTTTCATGCTATAGCCAAAAATCTTAGGCTTGTAATTTGATGATGCATGAATAAGCCAAGTTAAATCTGTAGTTTTCATGAAAAATAAGATTCCAAAGAATTTTTCTCTTTCTTGGGGTTCTTTGTGCGTGCACATATATGCCAGATCTGGACACTGCTGAACCGGAAGAGATTGCTCAGGATGAATATATGAGTAACAAAGCCGAGGAGGGTGTAGTCAAGAAGATAACTCCCAAGGAGAGCATGTACCAAAAAAAAAAAACTCCCAAGGAGAGTAATTTGACTCATAGAAGCGAGGATCTAGAAGAGAGGGTTGATATTTGGTCAACTATGGAAGAGACTAAGGGGGACTGTGTCTGCATCCTTCTCCTCATCACTTAGGATCCTTCTCCTCAGCACTTAGTATCCCATCCATCTCCCATTTTTTGTCCATAAAATTGACACAGACGAACTACCTACTATGGAAAACTCAGATAATAACATTGATTGAAGCACACGATCTTCTCAGTTTCGTTGATGGAATTGGAAAAGAACCAAAGGACTGACTTCCTTGAGACTTATTACAACAAAGTGAGATAATGAACCCTGATTACGTCATCTGGAGAAGAACAGACCGACTACTAAAACCGAAGACGTTCTTAGTATTGTCATTGTGCATTGGGGCTGCGTTTGGGGGGAAGGGAGGGGCGGTGCAACACTGCAAAATGATAAAATCCAGAAATGTTGATCATGTTGAGGAACATTTTTTTATATCTGCAACAGGTAAAAGATTAATCTTCTTATACAAGAGAAGATCGATACAACAGTATATATACAAGAAAAATACTTACAGCAGAAAATTTAACAGGCGCCTCTACGTTTTGTTCTCAAATCCAAGGAGTGGTAGTCAGACCAGGAGAAATCGAAAAGCAGCTGTAATGGATTCAGTCCTCCAAATTTTGCTTGTCGAAAAAGCCATGGCAATTGTCATCTAAGTTTTATCTGATTAACTCTATTGTACCAAATTGAATGCAGGGTCATGTGAAAGAGATCATACTTCATGGGCTTGGCATGCCACAGAAAATGCTGCTGAACCTTCCTCACTGCACTTTGCATTTCTAGATACTTCTCTTCCGGTAGAGAAATGAGTACGTCTTTCAAGTTAGGGATATCTTTCTCAGCGATAATGATTGAGAATGAATCCCAATTTAAGACATCGAAAAATGGTGGCACAAAATTGTCAGAGATGATCACAGGTACACACTCGTAAAAGATGGCTTCAACCACCCTCGGGCTGTTGACCTCGTAACCCTTGGGGCAGATGCAGTACTTGCTGCTCTTCATATGATGAATGTAATTCATTCTGCTTGCAACACCTGGAGGCATTGCACCAAAGATCTTCATATCAGGGTCCTTGTCCTTCCAATACTTGAGCAAGATCGGGCGTAAATATCCATGCATGTTACCAGCATAGAAGGCAAGAATATGCCTTTGAGAAGGTGGCTTTCCTCCAAGGTCTCTCAGAGGGTTTCTGGCAGAACGGACGTATGTTTCTGGAAGGGACACATCTCTCCCTATTTTGAAGCCTGCAGTTACATCAGCATTGCAGAGGGCTTTGATGCAATGTTCCATATGATGCCTTGTTTCATATGGGGCCTATAAACATACAACATATTAGAATATATCCACATAGAACTTGTGATCCTATTATATCTATGGGAAATAAAATTAAAAAAAGGGGAAGAGAGCAACTCATTATGGAAAACATGACAGGTTGTGATGGGTTCTGATTAATAATAACGAAAGAGATAAGGAAACTGGGCTACTATTTCACGCCTGCTTTCACACTAATGTTGTTCAACATAAGAGGACTCTAGGACAAAACATAGCAGTGTCGGATCATCTTACACAACCCATGTACAAAATCCAACCATATTTAAGTTCTTGAATTATTAAAAGAGAAACAAATTAAAGGAAAAGATGGATGGGAAGCATTACCCAATCATGGCAAGCAACAAGAAAATGATCTGCCCCACCAGTTCTGTTCCAGAAAGGATATTTTGCTGCTATCTTTTCTGAATAAATCTTGAGATATTGGCGTAGGTTGGTCCGATTGTGAGAGTTATGTACATACAGGGTGTACTGTAGCATCCGTGAACTAAAAGGCATATAAAACAGGTGTGCCTTTCGGGGGTCCTTCACAACAAAACGCTTATTTCCCTCCATCAGTTTCATAAACCATCCCTCGGAGGCATAGAGTCCCTTCATTATTGGTTGATGAAAGATGGGTTTTTCTCCATCCTTGTAAATATATACTTTGAGTATGCGTTCCATGAGTTCATAGCTCCTGCCAATTCACAAAAGAAAAACATCTTGAGAAATGCTTTCTCAACAGAGAAGCAATAGCAGTCTAAAATCCGGGCTCTCATGGCCGGAACAGGCGTATTGATGTATATCAAAGTGTTTGAGGGGAAAATAACGGCTGCTTAAGACCATTTAATTTGAATAATAAAATTTTTATGGTGACACATTCTGCTGTATCCGGACAGCGTAACATAAAGGTTCACCACTGATCAGTGAACACATAGATCACAGGCAACATCCTCACTCTACTACCCATGGCTCTGCCCAATATATTTGAAATTCTACAGCTTATATGTAATCTGTTAACAAGACATGCAGATTGAAAACAGCATGACTACCGAAGAGGGGAAAAAAGGAGGTGTTGTTAGTGGGAAAGTAGATAAAAAAAAAAAGGGCAAGAGTGACATATGCTTGTGCTTCTTAACGTGCCTAAATCAACCAAGGACAAAACTGACTTCCACACACTACTTGATCTTCAAACCAAACTAGTATGTATATACAGATGAGGTAAAACAAATACACATTATTTTCAGATTTACAAGTAGGCTAATGAACATCGGAGGCAGGCAGGTCATTGTTTGGAAGGTGATATGAAGTAGATCATGCATCATAATGCAGTAGATAATAAGAAGGGGGATACAGATGCATGCCATGCTTGACAAAAATTTAGTTACTGAATCAGACTAGTAGGATTCAGATAAGTAATGCTTCCTCACTGACCCTAGACTACATCACTCTCAAATATTGAAATATAAACATATGTTGACTAGGGCTTCTGTTGTGGATTAGAAAATGATGGCTCTTTTGTGATATTCCTTCCCTTATATTTTTTTCTCAAATTCTTACATGGATCATCGGTGTTAATCCCGCATAATACATGGAAATTTTTTCTTGTATTTAAACGTTTTGTGTGAATGGAGAAGTGACTAATTTCAAGACGGATTACATCCTTCATATACAATTGCATTAGTCTAACCTTTTAAACATTGAAACATTCCGAAAGAGGGGAGCATAAAGTTCTCGATTGATCTTCACGATGGGATCATTCTCAATCTGTGACTTTGCAGTCAGGATTTCTCGGTCATGTACTGAGGACCATCTTGGTCTCTGTAATCCAATTTGAAGAAGTTAAACACTTCACTGATATAAGACCAAAAGAATTAAGGGAAAGAAAAACCCATACCATTGCACGTGAACGAGCACGGTGCCGAACTAGTAAACGGTTCATCTCATCTATGGTTGTTACTGATTTTGGTGGCATTTGACACCTCATCTTTTTTTTAACGGGACTACTGACAGTTGCAGAATCATTTTTTGAAGTGTCCAAGTTGCTTTGCAACAGCACATGGTTCTCATCATCTTGAAGGACTTCTATTGCTTCCTTAACTGAAGAGTTATTGACAGTAGAGACAATAGAGGTGCTCACATTAGGTGCAGACGTTTGCATAAATGTTCTATTAACTGAAGATATTACTGGAGGCAATGTAACTGGCAAGATTGTACAGTAAATTTGTCTGGCAGTATAAGTGGATTTGCATCTTGAATATTGCCCATGGAATTCTCATGACTTGGTTTCACAATCTGCTCCAGAGAGAGGCCATACTTAGTTTCACTAGCCTTTTCCAATATGAAACCCTTCTTTTGATTTTCAACATTCTCTGCTGTAGAACCCTCACCCAACTCTTCAATATCTTCAAACAGATTATTGTTGTCTATCTGTTCATCTTCAACAAAGTCTGGATCGCTGTCTAGGTCTTCGCCATCTGAAGCAATTGTAGTCTCTTTGTCATTATCGTTTCTTGCCGGTCCCATATCATCCTCAGTGTCTCCATCTAAGTCTCTACTTACTGCATCTTTGCCTTGGCCAACAGATAGAGATGTATCTATCACGTCTGAACCATTAAGGGTGAGGGAGTTGGTAACCACCACAACGGC